GTAATTGACAATCAGGAAGGCATTAGGGCACGTCTCCTGCGTCGCCCCGCAGCCGAAGATAAGGCCGGGTCTTAGAGGCCCACGCCAACGCCAACGTAGATCACCGGAAATGCTTTCGAGAAAGGTCACCGTGATTTTAAGGTTAAAAATTCAATGAGTTTGTCGCGGAAAGGGGCCGCTTCGGGTCATTCGAACGGTTTGGATGTTTCGAAGCTGAGGCAACCTCATATGCATTTTTTTAGCGTATGAGTAGATGGCGCTGTTGTCTATTACAACCTAAAGTCCCTAGATTGAAAAGTACTGCAATAATCAACCATTTTGGGACATAATCCTTATTTCCAAAGTTGAATTATTGAGACTGAAACATTTTCCAAATATTCACCTTTAAAGTATTGAAATAAAAAACCACTTTCAACAGTTGTTGCAGAGGATTGATCACTTTTTTTTTAGTTGCTGATTATAATATATTAGTCCAGGCGGTATCTATCTGTTTTAAAAGCGCATATGATCGGAGATTTTTGCTTTAACGGCTTCTAAATAATATCAGAAATGATAATTTTTCTATCTAAATAAAAAAAAAACGTGGGCTTAATTGTTATTGCAAAAGGGTATAAAAAAATAGCAAAAAAATTAGTTTTTTTCTTGGATTTCTGGTCGACAATTTAGCAACTATTCATTTTAGACAAAAATGGAAGAGGAAAAAAGTTTTGTAATTAAATTTTGAATAAGATAGAGTTAGTTGCAATTCGAAAAAATAATTATTGTTGTTGCAAAAATCGGAAAAATCAATTAAAAAATTGCAAAAATGCTAGTTTATTTGTACAATTTTTTTCAGACACTTGAATAATACCTAGGATCTTCATACTTTTCCCAATGAAACTTCTTAGTGCATAGAATCATCACACCAAATTTCATCCAATTATGTTCAATAGTTTTTACATAATAATTGTTTAAATTTTTTTTTAATTAAAAAATTTTCAAAATCAAATTTTTAAAATCTAAAGCCTTTGAATACTTGAAAATTTCACCACAAAAAGTAGAGCTCTCAAGCTTTAAAATGCTTTTTGAAAAATACAAATCGGACGATTAGGTGAGCCGTGGTGATTGTTTAAACATTCTCGCAATTTTCACGCTTATAAACAATTGCAATAATTTAATGTTTTTTCAATTTTTTTTTTAAAATATGGTTTGAAAGTACTCAGAAAGACGAGTATTTAAAAAAAAACCTGATGATCCTCCCATTATTTTCGAAGTTATAGCCCGTTAAAGTTAACCCTTATTTACAGCAAAACTATAAGGGTATAAGGGCTGCTTTTTGAACTAATAGGTTTGTCATTCCGAGTACTTTCCAGAAATAAATTTTCTCTTGTTCAAAATTTAATTACAAAACTCTTTTCCTTTTCAATTTTTGTCTAAAACGAATAGTAGCTAAGTTGTCGACAAGAAATCCAAGAAAAAAATGACTTTTTTGCTAATTTTTTATACTTTTTTGCAATAACAATTAAGCCCACGTTTTTTTTATTTGCATAGAAAAATTATAATTTTTGATGTTATTTAGAAGCCGTTAAAGCAAAAATCTCCGATCATATGCGTTTTACCCAACCCAAAACAGATACCGCCTGGACTATACTTGTTGTTATCTATTTCGTTGTATTTTATTGTTCTTTTATTTAAAGTTACGTTTTCTTTTTTTCACCATTTGAATTTAATAGGTAATTCAATAAAATCTAAAAAAATATAATACTGTTAGTAATTAAATTTTTTTGGCGGTTACTAAGTCCGAAAAAATATTTTATTAATTTTGCTACACCCCAAAAATAATCGAGCTCGAATAATACGTCTTCGAGTTATTTACAAAATTCAAAAAATTTTCACGAACTTTGAGGCCATTATTCGCGTAATAATTCTCAAATAATTTTTAAAACACTTGTTTACATTAGATCACAGGTTGTTTAATGATAATTCTTTATATACGCATCATCCATTACCCCGTTGAAGGAACACACTTTTTTCAGAGAAACTCTGTACATTTTAATGTAAAAATACCATAGACAACTGGATTTGGACGGTCCGATATAAACAGCAGTTAAATCATAAAAATTGAAGGTAATAGTTAATATGCGGCAGAATACTTAAAACTGTTACATAAAAACAAACTGACATTTATAAAAAAAACGCTATTTTGGGGAAAAATGAGAACAATGGTTGCCTACTTGGTAAAAGTCCTCAAACTTCTGTTGGTAACTTTAAAATACAATTTTTATATATTGATATGTGCTTGGAGCTATAACCTATAAAGGATATGTTATATCTAATACGTCACTAGGCTTTTTTTCGTGAGTGAAGTCAATATTCAGACGCGAAAAAAACCTACTGTTACTCAATGTCTACTGGCTACTGGAACAAAGTATTGCTTTGAACCTACTCACCCGGAAGACTAGACAAGAAGCACGAACTCATATGGAAAAATCGACAAAATTTGTCAATGTAATAGTAGAAATTACTTATAGTTTTTTACCGCTAGGGTCGCTAGTGTTCCCTGTACACCGTCTGTTTTCATTATTTATTTATTTATTTATCTAATTCAAAATAGCCTATATTATTTATTTTAAAATTGTTAACACATCACAAAAACGGTATGATTGATTTGTAATTTCAAACTGCCGCTTTCTTTATCTCCCATCCACTATTTCGGTGCATATGGGACACTAACGCCCTCTAATTTGGTAAGATATCTGTTTATTTACATGGAGTTCGTGATCCTTGTGTAGTCTCCAATCTCCCATGCTACTAACTTCGAAAGAGTCAAAGGTCAATAACTACTCCTTAAATATTTCGAACTTTTTTTAAGTTTCCGATGCGCTTCTAATACGTTGATGTATCCTGCAGCATGTACATTAAAGGTGTTTAGATAATTTAATGTATTCGACAGACGACTTTTAATAATTTTTATTGTGCAATCTGAAAGCTACCTTGACGTATTTTGTTGTATTCTAAAGCCGTTTTAATAGATTTTAATGTTTTTCGATGCCGTTTCTATGTACTTTAACGTATTTTATAGCTGTTCTGATACTTTTGGAGGACTATAAAGCCGACTCTACGATTTTTTATGTATTTTAAAGCTGTTTTGTAGAAAAAAGTCTATAGGAATTTATCTGCGAAATTTCAAGAAACTGCTGGTTATAAATTTAAATTTTCTAAGGAGTATTGCTCCTAAAATCAGAAATTCTGTTTTGGTTGCGTTTTCGAACACTGCATTTAAACATGTTTTTTTCTAACAAAACATTACTACATTACTAAGTTTTTTTCTGTGAAACATATAATTTTAGTTATTGTCAATTTAAAATTAAAAAAAATCTTAAAATGCTCTAAAATATTTGTACTCATTTATAATTAAGATACACCCTGTACATTTAAAAAGTATGTGGCATTAGGTTATTAAAAAAACCTTAAAACTTTTTGGTGATAAAAGATTTCTGCAATAAGAAACTTAAAAACTTATTAACACAGTTTAGAAATTTCATATTCCAGACTTCATGAAAGTCGGACAGATTTTCAACTTCATAATCATTCCATTCTACATTTAAGACGTTATATTTTGCCACTCTTTGCATATTTTACGTACAATTAGGAAATATAAAATTAAGTCTGTCGGAAAAAACGGTCAAAAAAATTTCAGCGTGATTTAAAAGTTTGGAATATTATACTTACTTATTGCGGTCCAACCTACCGATTCTAAATGAGAATCTTACTTAATAATTACAAGCAAACTAATTTGTAAGCATAACAGCATCGACAAGTAAATCAGTTTGAGAGCTCTAACCTTATAAAGTTTGACAATTAAATTGTTAAATAGAAGACAAACTCACCTGAAGACGGAGATCGTTCAGGGTCTATTCTACAATTCTACACAAGAACTCTGGCGATTCAATTCCAACAAAACCAATTTTAGTCTCTAGTTTATTAGAAATTAACAACAAACTTGCTCAACATCAACAAACCCACCCCATTATTTCAAGCGTCATTTGCTGTTTTTTTCAAAGCAAAGCCCACTTGTTTACATAATTCACGAAAACTCTGCGCGATGTCGCCAGCAGCCAAAAGCGTACGTTCCGCGCGATTCTCCACGCAAAACTGAGTAGTGTCCGCGCCGCGACGCCCGGCGTCCCCTCGAGGACGCGTCGCCATGGAGACGACGCAGCCGCGCGCTAGGAAGATGATAACTGGCTAGTTTGACGCTGATAACGGTATAAAACGGGCATTTTTTACAGTGGTTGAGGTCCGTTTTTCGCTCAGATTTATCTCGGACAGGATCTGATTTGAATTGGGAATTGGATTTGCGAATGCAAATGGAGCGAAAGGAAAAACGGAGGTGGAATGGTTTTAAAACATGAAATAGATAACGCTTAATTTGCACATTTATGCTTACATGACAACTACGTAACGTATTACACATGAAAGAGGAAATAATCTAAAACATAAATCATAGCTTTTTAATGCAAATTTCAAATTTGTTTTATTACCTATATATTTAAAATATTATTAAGTTGAAGGTTCTATACAATTTAAATTTGAATTAGTTATAGATGATTTTGGTAATCGCCATATGAACTAATTTGATTTCATTGATTTTTAAACCTCCAGAAGATATACCTAAAATATTTAAACTCCAAATCTCAAATATTTTTGCAGGATTATGGCCATCTATCGTCATGGAATTTAACCTCTTTTATCTTTCTTCTTCTTCTGACAATGAGTCAGTTTAGTAGTATGTTTTAGAGCAAATTAATAAAGGGCAATAACATAATTTTGTTAAAATCTGTTATTACAAGAGAGTTTATTTTTGTAATTCCATGTACTTACATCTAATTTTGCTAATAATCTCTTTTGGAAATAAGAATATTGAACTGAACAGAGCAGTTAGAGTGAATCAGATCGAAACGACAGAATGAACGTGGTCATACAAGTTTCTGACCTGACTTGTGGTGACACTGCTGACACTGACACTTGACGGATTCATAATTAATTCTACTCTATTAGTAAACAACTAATTAAATAAAATCTCAGTGGTTTTGCGGCGAGATATGATGGAATGGAATTCATGTTACGATGGGCACGACCACATCGTGCAGTGGAACGTGACTGAAAACCCTAGAAACGTACTGGAGATGAATAACGAAAACTTAGTGTTCCAACAAAATGATCTCTTTCCCTCAGCCTTTCCTCTCATGGCTGATATCCGTCGACAAGGAAAACTCTGTGATGTCGTCCTTAAGGTAAATCACCAAAGTTACTTCCATTTAACTAGCGACTAATGTTTTTTTCTTCAGGTTGACGGGCAACACTTTAGTGCTCATAAAATTGTTTTAGCTTCAACCATTCCATATTTTCACGCCATGTTTATGAACGATATGATAGAATCTCGTAATAAGGAAATTGAAATCAAATGCATAGATGCAACGTAAGTATAAACACTGTTATTGGTAATATGTCCTTTATGAATCAATTTTTAGGGCTTTGGAGGCATTGGTGAATTTCGCATATTCAGGAAAGGTTATTCTGGATAAAAATAATGTTCAAAGTATAATGATCGGTGCTTCGTACTTGCAGCTGAACAAAGTAAGGGATGCTTGTGCAAATTATTTACTGCAAAGGTAAGAAATGTACATTTCCGATTCCCGGTGTTAAGAAAAGTCATTTTAGGATACATCCGCAAAACGCATTAGGATTTAGGCACTTTGCAGAATCTCTTGGCTGCGCCACACTGGCAGATTCTGCAGAAAAATATATTGAATCTTACTTCCATGAGGTCTCTCAGCATGAAGAATACTTAAACCTGTCCCTATCCGAAATCAAAGATTTGCTGAGCAAGAATGATTTAAGGGTAGAAAGGTATAATAATTATCCACACCCCACATTTTGAAAATATAAAAAATATATATACTGTTTTTAGCGAAGAACAAGTTTTCGAGGCCTGTATGAGGTGGATGAAGCATGACATTGAGAAAAGAAAGGAGCATCTGCCAGAACTTTTGTCGTTAGTGAGATTGCCACTGCTATCGCCACTTTATATAACTGATAGGGTCCGTAACGAAGACCAGATTAGGTATTCCATTCAATGCCGGTAAGTCCTACATTTTTCAAGAAATGATTTACAATTTAGCGTTCATAATTGATAATAGGAAGTTTCGAGGTTAAATCTGGACATTTTTATTAATGATGTCATTATCGTGTACTTAACAATTCATTAAAATTCTCAATAAATCCCTATGAACTTGCTTTTACTGTTTATAATTCAAATTAGATGCAAATAACATGCAGTTACTATAGTCTATAGCCTATTTTGAAATAGTATAGAGAAATAAATATTTTTTTTAAGTCAGGCATACTTTGTAATATTGACAGAAAGTATGTTTATTTATATCTACTAAGAAAACGTACAATAAGATTTGCCAACTGTTAGGATATTATCTTATTAGTGGCAAGACTCTTGTTAAGATAGAATAAACATAGACCAGGGCGGATATGCCGAAATGTCCCACTTATTGGATGTAAGAGGGGAGCAAGCTAACTTTTGCTGGAATACATTCAGTACAACTCACATAATAAAAGTGTATATCCCTAGATCTGGGCGAGGTCCGGAACATTCCAAAATTGCAAAAATGTTTAAAAATGTTTAAAAAATACCTATTTTATCTAAGTTTATTAGCAATAATTGATGAAAAAAGGCAAAATAATCAAGTTTTTTGGATAATTTTTAAAAAATATTTTAATTGCTCCGAGGGTATTGTAATTTTGGTAAAAAAAAAACTTTTGAGTATAATAAAAGAACACACCAAATTTCATTAAAATCGGTTCAATAGTTTTCGCAAAATAATTTTTTGAAAAATTGAAATCGGTTGATTAGGATGGCCACAGTAAATTTTTAAAGTTAACACTTTTTTTTATGTTTAAACAATTACATTACATTGATCAATTTGCAATTTAGTTTTTTTCAAAAATTATAATTTTAAAGTAGGTACTCGGAAAGATGCTTCTTTTAAAAAAAAAAAGTTAAATTCCGTTTATTGGTTCTCGAGATATAAGCAGTCAAAGTTTATCGCCATGTACCATTAATTTATAAACACTTTAGCAAGAATCTTTGACCCAGTGGCTTCGTTTTTCCAAGTTCTAAGCTGGAAAAAATTTTCATATCCATAAGTTATCGGCAACATAGATAAATCAGCAGAAAAGTAGTCGTTCGCACGCGCGAAAAGTGGAGGAGGCTGCTTTCGCTCCGAGACTGAATTCGGAGGTTCAAAATGCGAAGGTACGAAAAAAATTGCATTATCTCGGCTTCTAATGGACCAATTCCGATCTTTTTTCTTTATCCGATGTCTCACGAGCCAAGGAATTCAAATATCGTAATGCCAACTGTCTGATATGCACATATTTTGTTATAAACAAAGTTTGTTATTTATGCATTAAATATACTGTATATACCCTATGCTATTGCATTTTTTCAATGAAAAAATTTGTTTATTTCAACACTGAATATGAATATATTTACTTATAATTATTTAAATAAATAACTTTTTTTTATTTGGAAATTATTTTTTTTGTTAAATACAGATAAAATTAAGATAAAATAGTAATTTAAAACTATAATTTTTGAAAAAAACTAAAATGTAAATTGATAAATGAAATCTAATTGTTTAAAAATAAAAAAAGAATGTTTAAAAATTTACTGTGTCCATCCTATTCAACCGATTACAATTTTTCAAAAACCATTTGAAAGGTTGAACAGTCTTTTCTATGTGAAAAAATATTCAAGTATCTAGATGCTTTATTTGTGGCTGTGCAACATTTTAAAAATTTGAGAAAATTTTTTCATTTTTTTTTCAAAAAATTATTTTGCGAAAACTACCGAACCGATTTTAATGAATTTTGATGTGTTGTTTTATTATACCATAAAGTTTTTGTTACCAAAATTAGAATGCCCTCAGAGCAACTAAAACATTTCAAAAAAATTATCAAAAAAACTTGATTATTTTGCCTTTTTGCTGGTAATAAATTTACATATTCTTAACTTACAGTATATTGTGCAAAATTTAATTCTAAAACTTTTTTTCTCTTCAGTATTCTTCCAAAATTCATAGATTCCAAGATAGAAGTAAAAAAACTCATAAAATAGGTATTTTTTAAATTTTTGAAGCATTTTTAAAATTTTGAAAATGTTCCGGACCTCGCCCAGATCTAGGAATCTACACTTTTATTATGTGAGTTGTACTGAAGGTAATCCAGAAAAAATTTTCTTGCCACATCCACCTCAAAACAGATCCGCCCTGATCTAACAGTACGAGTAAAAATTGGCAAGTCCGTCGAAATATACTCTCGTTAAAATACAAAAAAGTGCATGAAAATAATTGAAACAAACTATCTACAGTGTTTTAAATAAAGGGAAAAATAAAATTGAAACTAAAAAGTAAATCATGCATCCGTATTCAACCTAAAAATAATATTGTGACTTTAAAATAACATATCAGAAAGTCATACAAAAGCAATCTGATCTTATAGCTGTTTACATTGACAATTTATTAATAAATTAATTCATGAAGTCCTTCATCAAGAAATTGGACAAGTGTAATGCACCAAATCTGCTGTCAAATAACTTCATGAATTTATTCATCAAGTTCTTGACGAATTAGAGCATGTTCTAATTTTCGTCAATTTATTCTTGAAGTTCGGAAGTACCAACCCAACAGATTTCCAGCCTCAGATCAGTAATGAGGTTATGTTATTGGAATATGTAAATAATTGTGTGGCATTGTACTAGTTTTGCATTGTTTTTACTGATTTGTTTCTTACAAAAACTAATATTTATAATATGTGTCAGAACGGTACCGCTGTTGTATCACTACAATTATAAGTGGAAAGGTGACATTTTTTAAATTTATTTGCTTCTTTGATTCATTGGTAGAACTGATTCATATGTCAAAAAACTTGACAAAGTCTGTAGCAGTCTAAAACCACACTGTTTACCAATAAATTCGTTAATTAATTCATGAAGAACTCCGTCAATTTATTCATGAATAAATTGTCAATGTAAAACAGCTATTACAAAATTTTTCATTGTAGTGTCAGTCTCTGCCACTCCACTACTTTGATACACTTGGTTTAAAAATGGAATATGTATTTCATTAAAAAAAAAATGTTTCAGATTGGCGTTCTGCGAACATCCCGATATTTTTGAAAATTTTTAATGACGTCCAGAAAAAAAAATCATATTTCTTACAAATTTTGTATTTTAATTTGCGACTCAAATTTAATCTGCTTACTAACCATTAAGAACTCAAATCAGTCAAAAAATTGTAAAATACAAGAAAAAATGATAAGGGTGGCACTCAAACATAAACAAAAAACATTTTTTGAAGAATATATTTGAGTAATTTATACTTTCAAAACATTTTTGGCGGTCCTTTATTTTACCTTCCGAAGTCCGCCAGTTGCCGACCGCTGCTCTATACTATTTCAAAATAGGCTATAGCATTATTTTTATTAAATATTCTGATGTATCAGTGAAAAATAAAATATATCTAGTCAATTACCAATCAATATGTATTATAATTCTCATAATACAGAGACTTGGTCGACGAAGCACTGACTTTCCACCTGATACCGGAAAGACGGGCTTTAATCCAAAGCTTCCGTACCGAGCCAAGAGTATGTGACATAAAAGGCTACATATATGTCGTAGGAGGCCTAAACCGCCACGGTAACGATCCGATACAATGTCCGTAACAACATCTCCTTAATCGATAACTTCCTAGGTGATTCCTTGTCTACCGTGGAGTACTACGACCCAAAAATCGACAAATGGCATATGGCGCCACCCATGTCAATGATGCGGTCCCGTCTAGGTGTAGCCGTTCTCAAAAGCAAGTTGTACGCCTTTGGCGGTTACAACGGTAAAGATCGGTTGTCTAGTGTCGAAGTCTATGATGCCGTGAAGAAGGAGTGGTCGATGGTTAGTCCCATGATATGCAAACGAAGGTGAATATATTTGAAAGTTATATTTCAGTCTGAAACACATTTTTGTAGCGCTTTAGGTGCAACGGCTTTAGGCGACATCATTTACGTTTGCGGTGGCTACGACGGCGTGACTTCCCTTAATTCTGTGGAGAGGTATCACCCTAGTACAAATTCTTGGTGTTCGTTGGCCCCGATGAACAAATCTAGGAGCGCAGGCGCTGTCATAGCTTGCCAAGGTAAGTGCAAATCATAATGAGTGCGTAAATTATGTATAACGTAAAAACGATGTAGAGATTAAGACCTAAAGAAACAATTAACGCTATCTTTTTGTTCGCTATTTTGTAATTTCTAAAATAATAGAAGCAGAATATTTTTCTGAACATTATTCCCATAATTAAAAAAATCTGTTCTAAATGTTCAGACTCTCGCAAAAAATTCATTTATAAGAAGAAAACATACTCAACAATTGGAATTATAACTAAAATTTCTTATAATTTTCTGAGTTTGATATCATCAGAGCTGAAAAGATTTTGGTCACATGACAGCTGACAAAATAGAGATATGGGTCAAATATAACCTATAAATTGTGTGTTAAAATTTAATTGTCACTGCTACTCAAGGCCTACTGGCACAGAACATTACTTTGTACCTACTGACATAGAGTGACCTACTAACCTGTGGGTACCAGACTAGCTGTCAATTAGCCGAAATAATTAATCATTTCAGGTTTTAAATAAAACATGTTTGTGGCCTCTGCACAATTTACACAACAGAGGGTGTTGTGCAAACATTTTGAGCTTGTTTGAAATTGTTTGTGCAACGCGTGACTTACTCAAACAGGTTTGAACGTGTATGTGGATGTTTGAAGGTGTTGTACAATGTAACAAACGAATAGTGGCATACGACTAGAGTTGTTTGAGCAGTTTTAAAAAATAAATAAAATGGCTTTGAATATATTTTTCGTTTGCACAAAAAGAAAATACAAACATGGAATTTGCGATTGACTCTCTAACCTTCGTAATAACATAAACATTTATAGCTTCACTTTTCAGGCTATATATATGCCCTTGGCGGTCACGATGGTCTCTCCATCTTCGATTCCGTTGAAAGATATAATCCTGCCACCAATACGTGGGTTGAAGCACCGCCGATGTTAACAAAAAGGTAATTTTGATAGAAAGTCACTTAAATCTGTATATTTTGCCATGTTTCTTTGGTGTTGAAGATGCCGTCTGGGTGTAGCGATGCTAGGAGGCAAATTATACGCTTGCGGTGGGTACGACGGCAGTTCGTTCCTCCAAACTGTCGAAATGTTCGATCCGAGCACCAATAAGTGAGTAATCTATATAAATCGTTGGCCGTCATGAAAAAATAAATCCGCAGGTGGACGTATGTTGCTCCGATGAACGCCCAAAGGAGCAGGGTGGCGTTAACGGCGAATATGGGCAAACTGTGGGCTGTCGGAGGATACGACGGCATTTCTAATCTGGTCACGGTTGAGGTGTACGATCCTAAGACCGACAAGTGGACCTACGCTGCCGATATGATTGCCCACGAGGGTGGAGTTGGCCTCGGCGTTATATCCATTCCATAGATCACATAATATTGGGAAGTCCCAGTAATATAAGTAACTATATTCATTTTAAAAAAATATAGGTAATAGCTGTGTCTACATAGGTAAACATTTACTAGTCATATTGTAAGTATCAGAAAATGTTTCGATATTTATCGCCAAAAAGACTGGACGTTTGCCATGATTCGATTATGTTAAGGAAGAGATTCTTTTTTTTTAATTTCCAACAAAACATTTATTATCCTTTTTTAGTTCTATTATTCCTTCGCATTATGCATTTAGCCAACACAGTCATGTCAACGATCGAGAAATCCTAGTTGGTTTGGGTAAAACATATTTGGATTTTATGGAAAATATTTTTAAAAAAAATTTTGGTTCAAATAGATATAAAACAATAATGTATGCGTATATCTCTTCAGCATTTAAATTCGTGGTGCATTTGAATTTTATTCACTATAAAATTACCCTCGAATCAGTTTTATCAAATTGAGTAAATGTTTGTTGATTATTTTTAGGATATAATATATTTCGATATCAGTTATTTCTGTGACGCTTCGTCAAATAATAAAAGAATATCAGTTACTTTTTCTGAGCCTATAGTTACTTGTACTCAATTACATTTCTATGAACCTACAGTGCATTTGACCTACTACAATACAATAGGTATTTATTTAAGTGAACAGTGGCTCTAAGATACAAGCCTTAATGTTTAATAAATCACTTTTAAGCCTCACATAAGAATGATATTTAATTTTCTACAGATTTAAACAACACATTCAAAGCTTTAGGAGGGTGCTGTTATTGTTCCGTAAAAGTTGTATAGAGCGTCATAAATGATTACAAACCACACGAACAGTATCGAACAATAATTTTAGTTCCTTCATGTTGGCAATTTTGGTAAAATTAAAAATGATTAAATCAATAAGTTTAACATCACATTATAAAGGCACATTTTGTTTCGTCGGCTATGATTGGTGTAATTTTTCAGTCAATCAACATTCACATTATCTCGAGCGTTTACATAACAGTTTGTCGTTGTTCATTGTAAACATCATTAATATTGGTGATGCCAGATTTAGAGAATTTTCTTTACCAGTACCAGCCCTACAATGTTGCGTTGCCTAAGTTTAGCGGTCACGTGTCTTGTAAGCATTTATGAAGGCTCGGTAGTAGCAAGTGACTAAGCAAATGTAAATATAAATTATTGTATCACTGTAATTTATCTGCAATAAGCATCAGTATACATGTTTGGACAATGATTAATATTTCAAAGATAGAAAAATTATCAGCGAGATAAGAAAGAATGTATGTATTGATTTTTGTCTAAATAAAAGAGGCTACAGGAGTAACATTTTGTTTTATTTAAAAAAAAAACTTTTTTCAAATGAATAAAGTATGAGTAACACCTTCAGATTTGAAAACGCTTACAATTAGTCGAACAAGAAAATACAGGGTGTTGCAATTCTTCGAGCGAGTTTCAGCCAAAAAGGTTAGGTAACTATGGGTACAGAAACCATTAATTTTCGAGACATAGGGTGTTGAAATTAAAAAAATTGACTTCTCGAAATATCTGGACGTTTGTATAGAATGATGAAAATCTATTTTAGTTGGGAAACGAATCGTTTGATTTATGACTTTTCCCCCACTTCACAAAATGTAGAATAATGGTAGAACTATTCGTTTCCTAAAAAATTTGTGAGATTTTTTTAGTAGAAATATTTGTTCCGAGGTATTTTGTGAAATAAACTGTTTAATCATATCGAGGGCAGCAAAACAATAATGTGACATCAAACATCAAAATTAAAAACTAGTAATTTTTGTTTTACAACCAACTGTTGGTACCGACTTGTAAAACAGCCAATGGAAGCACTGAACGCACAAAGTGTACCCATAGAAATAAATTTCTGAGAATTCGCCTCGATATAAATATTCAAATGCTGATTGGTTTGGCAAACCTGGCAACAAACAACTTTTTTTCATTTTTTTAGGCTGGTATTTATAGACCTCGAAAAAGGAAAAAATCTGTCAGTGCCAATGGCTGACTGCAGTTGTAGTTTCGTTAAAGATTAGTAAAATTGATTTAAATCAGTTATTAATTGCGAGGTCTTTATTTAGTTACTGTGCACCGCCGGCAGCGGCAAGATCAAGGGTGTGTATTCTATATTTATATGCAAAAGCGGTCGATAAGGTAATTCAGAATGGCAGTCGACCTTAAATGTATTTTATAGATCTGGGACGAAAATGTTATTGCTGTTATTAATGTTTATTGAATTGTGACGTAATGTATGAATCCGTTCACGACTTTTGCAGTTTAACCATTTCGTTCTATAAATGCTTACCTGTAAATGTGTGGGATTATTTAAAGTTCAAAACAATTTAGTGTAATAGTTTAGTTGCTACAATTGCAATTTTTAATTATTGTTGCATAGCTAGTAATAAAATTTAACCTTTCCATATCGCGGAACTTTTCGTGGGAAGGATTTAAAATAAAAAAAATTGTATTATCTTGTTTCCTTTCGGGGGCATTGTTTTGAAGCGATTTACACATCCTAAGATAAGATATTGTGGTGGATGGGCCGCTATCAGTTTCCTTTATGATACATAAACTCATGGTTTTTGTTTTTATTGTTAATTTGATTAAAGCTTAGTCATATTTGCTTTTAATAAATATTGATGAACTTAAATGTTACTGAATATCATTGAAAAGGTACTTATTAACTTACTGATTTTCCATAAAGTTTTCCAATTAGATGTCTTGATAAAGCAAAGCTATTAATACAGCTCAATTAATATTTATTTATAGAACGTGTCATAATAATAATAAAGAAAATGTAAATATTTAAACTATAAAGTTATTATGACACGGCTAATACTTCTGTATGCAAAATTATTTTGTTTGGTACAAATTAAATAATAACTTTTTGGAATTAATTTAACCCAAAAATACCAATAGATATTTTTTCACAGGTTTTTGAGATTTTGAAATGTTCGCCATGCGCCTAAAATTAAGCTCGATTAGAAACAACGAGTGGAGATGCTGTTTCTGCCTCCATGTCCGAACGGCAACGATTATCTTTGGAATATGGCATTTGGTGAGTATATTTTTTTCTGCATTGCAACAAATTTTGCCATCACATCCAAATATTTTAATTATAAAAGTACTGGCACACTTAAACGCAGTTTCAAGTTGGACTTTATTGTTTTGATGACCTTTTGGTTATCGTGTTGGTTTGTCATATTATGTTTCTTTAGAAATGTCATTTATCTCCAAACGTTGTTTTTATAGAACAGCCGCTTGCTGCGAACTTCTGCATGAAATTGCTCGTTAATATGCTTTAATGACATCCTGAGCTTTTATATGTATTTGGATATGTTGTGGAATTAACTAATTTTTATGCAATACGGTATTTACAAAATTATTTATGAATACATTTTACCCGACGGGTAAGAAAAAAGTGTGGTATAAAATTCAATGTAAGTTGTTTGAAAGTCATTTTAAAAAATATGTTGTAATGATAAGTTGTTTTTAAATATTTGCATATAAATACATTGTTAAATTGTAATTCTCAGATAACAGTTACTAGTTCATGATTTAAATATTGAAGTAAATACTTAAGGCTAGGAAGGCAAATAAATAAATTAATTCTGATAATTAAATCATCGTGCAAAGCTTCCACAATTTTAATATAAAAGATGTGTTAAATTTGCTTCTGTGTAGTTTAATACAAATGTTTGATTATAAAGACCTCGAGTTTTAACATAGTTACCCATTTTTGGACACCCTATAAAGTATACAGTGTATCACACCGAGAATCGCCACGATTGATATCTGGAAAAATACTTATTTGAAAAAATTTGAAAATTTGGCAACTTATCAAAGTCAGTAGAAGAAACACAACTAAAATATTTTCAAAGTCTCCGGTTGTACCATAAATCGACGCCATCTTCGTTATTTTAAATGGAACATCCCATATATTTTTGCATTTTTGGATTCTACTTGAAATTTTAAGGTCACTTTGTATAACAATTCAGATTTTTCTTGCACAGTTAATAGTAAACTAGTTCTTAAAATTTATATTTTTAGAGATATTGACATTTTTATAAAAAATTTGACAGATGCAAGGTTGTGCGAGATCTTCAGTATTTTATTCCAGCAATTAGATATCAATTTGAGATTCGGTGTGCGAGTAGAACACGTATGGAACAACCTTACACAACATCCATAAATTAGAAAATATGATACCGAGTGTTTAATTTTCGACTGTACATTTTGATAACTTCAACTTTGTTAACTTAAATGGAACACCCTGTATTTTTTTGCCCTATCTTGTGCAGAAATTAATTATCTTTCACGTGATGTAGGCATTGTATGGGCTGTGGTTACAACTTTTAGAGATAATTGCACTTTTTACTTTTATTTTTCAATTTTACATTAAATTAACTTTATCAAGGGGTCTATGAGTAGGAACAATCGTTATTGACAATAAAACTATCAAACAACAAGTTGTCAAATTATTATTTGTACTCGCTACACTGTTATAAGTTGAAATGTGACAGCAATTACAAACAAACTGATATGTGAAAGATAGTGGTATGCAAAATTGTTTAGATTGATTTAGAAAGCGAGCACCGTAAGTCAAGGACTGAAACTTTTCTCATTCTCAAAAATTTCATTATGCAAAGGAATACAAATTTCATATGGTTGGAAAAAGAATAAAAAAATCTATCAAAACATGCAAAAAATTTATATAATCCCATATTAAAAAAATATCAATATCACCACTCATCTAGTGTGACGAAAAAAAAAAAATTTTGTTCGTCAATATAAAGAAAACAATATTCCATTTAAAAAAAATATATACTTTACACGGTGTCCAAAAATGGGTAACCGTGTTATAGGACTTAAAATTGATCTTATCCGTGGTTTTTAATTTAAATGTGTCGAGGGTCATAATATTTATAATTGTGATTTTCCATTAGATATTGCACGTCCTGGCTCTAACTGTGCTAGCGCTGATAATGCGCAACCACCACATTATCATCCAGAAACACGATGAGTTCACGCAGAACGATTTTCTGCCCACCCCTTTGAGCAAAATCAAAGACGACGATAACCCTTACTATCTGCCCACTACGCAGGATGGACGAACCATTTATTCCTGTAAGCCTGCTCTAAATGAATTAAATTGAACATGTACAAATTATTATTTTTTTTATCAGCGGACATCGATATGGGCGCCCTCATGACGGTTTGCACCCTTTCCATCACCCTCTTGATGGTGTACGGCACGATTAAAGGAAAAGCCACCCAACTGCTGCCTTTCTTTTGCCTACAGCTGTTCGATTTCGCCATAACCACGTAAGTCTTATAATTTTATTACATTTATATACTGGGACAAAGTATTAATAAATCCTTATCACTCTTTTATGGTTGGCGATATTGTTTCATAGTTATGATTTGCATATTTTTATTATCTAAATTTTATGTTTATACACTTCTTGGAAATGTGCCACATGACTAATTTTTTTTATGTGCATTAAATCACTTGGAGTAGATAATAAGCAATTAAAACTCAATGCCAGGTGTATGCATTATTCATACAGATTATCGTGAAATACTCGTAATACTTGATTTTTAACCGAATTTTTATTTTATGTTAATCTCTGCTGCTGCAATCTTTCAGTAAAAATGGCAGTATTATAAGTATAGTTTGTCGTGCAAAGACAGTGATGTCACTAAGAAATTAAAAAATAATGAACTGCATTAAATAAATAAAAAAAGAAAGAATAACGTAGCATATACGTATCTGTATTATTAAAATGGCATTTTTGTGTCTCGTGTCGTTTACAATTCACAATTTTTCTTCCATTTAAATGTATATTACCAAGTTTCTTCTTTTATACGGTGTATTTGGTGATGCAATCAACTGCGTTGGAATTTAATTATAAATTTCTGCCAAAATAATCAAAATTATTCTTATTCAGATAATAATACCCGGCACAGCAGCTGTAATAGTTGATTTCTTAGGATATGAACTGGTCCACTAATAGGAAAACTACCAAAGAAATTATTTGACAAACATGACATTTTATTACTGCTCCATCATGTCGTAAATCTATAAAACATTTTTATACAGGGCGTTTTCAAAATAAATACGTTCCTTGAAAAGGATGTTAGGGGCACGAAAATAAGCAACTTTTATTAAGCAATTGATAGTCTAAAACATTACGTTTTAAATTGTAAAAAAAATTCACATGAAGGTTTAAACAAATTTAAAACCGTTTTGGGTGTAACAACTGGCTGTACGATATCGAAGTGATGGCGGTTTTGACAGTTTAAATTTTGTGTTCGAGAAAACTAACACCAAAATTAAACGATTAAACGAATTACTTACCAATAGACGAAATGCTCTACAAAAATTGTTCGAAGTTGTTTCCATGTACTAATAAACGTGTTTCCAAAAGACGGTCAAAATTCTGTCATCGAAAGCACATTAACTGAAAACTGAGATGTGAGAAACATTAATTATAAGTAATATTTAAAAATATATTACGATAGCTCATTTTTATTAAGATATTATAAACAAAAAATAATTATTGACAATAATTTCCTTTAATCACAGTAAAATGTACATTTTCAATTATTATTTGTTCGTTATTCAACTCTCTAATTCTAACTAACTTATCCTTCTTTTCTATTCCTGTATCCAACTACCTTGTTTATATAAAAATGTTTATAAAATTATGAACAATCAGTCTATTCAGCGTTTCGGGACACGCACACTGGCCTTGGCGTTCCAGCCACCGTCGCTCGGTCTGTCTTTCCCGCTCTTCATAACAATATTATAAATTGTTACTTTTTTAAGTGTTGGTACCATTGACTAATTCTTGTTTTTACCATTTACTTGTCAAATATTAAAAATGAAAGAAAAAAATTAATCTGAAGGTAAAAATTTAGTGCTTATTGAAAAATTATCCGACCTTTCCCACCAAGTTCAAGTATGGGTGACGGTTTTACCTCACAAAGTATATGTCATACCTTAAATGTCTTAGCTACTTAGTGTCGACTGGCATAAGGCATTGCTTTGTACCTACTGGCAGATAGTGACCTACTAATTTGTGGGTACTATAAAAGTATGATTAGTGTGGGTACACATGTTCGCAAGTGACCCAGTTTTAATCATTACGTCAAGAGCGCCAGCAAGACGCCGCCGGACGCACGAGCGTTCCATGAAGGGTCTACGGCGGACTGGCGCCGGCGACCAGATGCTTACTCATATACCTACAACCGACTCCACACACAGGACTTCAACGAACATTCGCCCCGTCAACATGTCTTTTTCACAAGCTTAGGTTTTCAATAAACCCTCATTAGTTTGCACCAGGTATACTAATATTGTGAAAAACAATTATTACGCTGCAGAATCATCANACATTCACTGAAAACTGAGATCTGAGACAAACATTAATTATAAGTAATATTTAAAAATATATTACGATAGCTCATTTTTATTAAGATATTATAAATTGGTACTTTTTTAAGTGTTGGTACCATTGACTAATTCTTGTTTTTACAATTTACTTGTCAAATGGCATACCTTAAATGTCATTGCTACTTAGTGTCGACTGGCATAAGGCATTGCTTTGTACCTACTGGCAGGGAGTGACCTACTAATTTATGGGTACTATAAAAGTGTGATTAGTGTGGGTACACATGTTCGCAAGTGACCCAGTTTTAATCATTACGTCAAGAGCGCCAGCAAGACGCCGCCGGACGCACGAGCGTTTCAGGAAGGGTCTACGGCGGACTGGCGCCGGCGACCAGATGCTTATTCATATACCTACAACCGACTCCACACACAGGACTTCAACGAACATTCGCCCCTTCAACATGTCTTTTTCACAAGCTTAGGTTTTCAATAAACTCTCATTAGTTTGCACCAGGTATACTAATATTGTGAGAAACAATTATTACTCTGCAGAATCATCAGGAATAGACCAATTTCCATCAAATTCTTTCAAAACGTGGGAATACACATCCAAATAGCTAAATTCGGTCAACCGGTTTATGTCTTGACGATTCTGCTAATCTTAGCTATTTTCTAGATATTGGGGGTGTAATTCAATGCTACATGGGGCTTGTAGCCGCAGACTAATTGTTTCCCACAATTAATTTCAAGTTCAAGTTGGGGAACATCTAAATGATTTTCGAATGTTGCCATTTCGCATACCTAAAATATATTGTTTGCTTTAAAAATTGACAAGTCAAAAAAAAAATTGATGTTTCTTATGTGTGAATGGAATAAATGCACTATGAATTACAATTTTTTTAGACTCACCGCTACTGGCTACTTCTGTTACTTGCGATCCGTCCACCGTCTCGTAGCGGAACACTGGAATCTCCCGTTCCGCCACGCGTTGCTCCAACTCAGCCCCCAAGTTCTATCGCTCATCGTCCTCACCGCATTTCTAGTCTCCATGCTGTGGAAGGTGCGTAAACGTAAAACTGTAATCTAAACCATAAAAAATCCTTCTAATTACACCTACAGGCCTACTGGATCAGCGTCATCTGGCGTTGCTACAAGTACTTAACGCTCCGCCAGCAAACGATGAGGAACACAATCCACTACATCCTACCGGAGGGTTCAGACCGCGCCAACGATTCCGACTACCCCTCTCTCTTCCGCGACCACGAGGCCGCCTTCGGAAGCGCCATGAAGCAGACCCCTCCGCCATCCTACCAGGACATAATGGAAGACCAGCCGCCGCCGTACCCCGCCAGCCTGCAAGCCGAGCAAGAGACACCCTATCGCTGGAGACTCCTCGCTTTCTATCCCGGCGGCAGTCAATCTGAGGTTCAATCGACCAGCGCTGCGATCGTCAACGAAGAAGGAACGTCTGCCCCATCCACTTNTTTAGTCAAACATTTGAAATCACTAGATGATAAAACGCCAACACAATAAATTTGCCGAGTACTTCGACTGATTGTGAGAAGAACGAAGCTCTGTCTCGCATAGCCACATCGAATACGTCAGGGATAAAATGTTTCAGGTGTAAAAAAAGATGTCACGTAAAAAAGTGATTGCGTCACATATTTTTAAAGGAACATTATTATTAACCTTGCGTTGGGTCCCCAGCGTATGTTTATAAAACATTCTCGGTTACAGAAACATTGAATGTCTCGATGCCGATAATAAGTTAGTTGTTATAGGTGATATAGGTGATCAATAAAGGTTGGAAATTAAGTTCCTAAAAGTTTATTTAGGCCCAAAGACCTGTTATCCTGATAATTGTCATAGATGAAACTGAAAAGAATTATATTTAAACTTTAGTTCCGTATCGTTATACATGTCATAAGTTTATGAAAACAGTGTATATAAACAAACAAATTCGGGAGTTTATTGATTTGGGAATTGATGCATAAATCTGCCATAAAGAGTTTAGTTTTGTATTCACGGGAACTGGTAGCTGACATTGAAATGAAAACGCTGACAGGAGTCTTACTGCTTAAGATTAAGGTTACCTCAAAGATAAAAATAGATTTTGTTTTGTTATTGATTTTTATATCATAAATTATCAAATTATGAATTGCGACGTATTAATTGGTCAACAAAAAAATTGTTACTAGTCTATAGCGGAGACTTCAGGAAGCAGAAGTAAACATTGAGGTAAGCGAACGCGCGACTAAACATAAACTGATTAATCTAATAAATTAGTTGTTATCTCATAAAGTAATAAAAGATTCGGCTTCTCCATATGCAAGCCCCGGGTGTTAAGAATATTCGTCCCGGATCTAAGGGTGCAGTAACGTGTTGAAATATGTAGTAGCTTATAAATCTAAAAAAATATATTATGTCTTTGTTATTACAGTAGCCTGGTCCTTGTTCTAGCTTAGAGCATGACGATTTGCTCTAGGTCGTTGTCATTGAGCATGGGCGAATAGCAATTTGCTCTGGCAGCTACCGAACGTGAGTAGTTAGGGCACAGAGCATGACGATTTGCTCTGGACAGGTAGACTGGAATTTGGTCACCTGGAGGTTTTTTTTGTTTGAGTGGTATTTGTTCTGGTCAGGTGGATTGGAATTTGATCACCTGGAGGGTTAACTTTTATTTTTTATTTTAATTTTATTAAATATGTTTTACTATTATTCCTATTATTTTATTGTTATTATCTTATTATAATTAGGTATTTACTATACAGCGCAGAACATTGCAGGTTAAATCCCTGGTACTTTGTTCTGGTTCAGAGCGGAATTTTGCTCTGGCAGAGCGGNGTTGAGGTGACAGGAGATGGTCAGGAAAATACCGCTAATGGAGAACAGGCCAGCAATGAGGAAGTCAAAGTTGAGGAACCTAAGGCTGTCGAGGAGGAAGAAGGGGCTGTCGCTTTGCCTGTGGAAGCTTCGGATAAAGTTGATGAGGCCAAGGCCCCCGACAATTTGAAATTTTAAGCGTCTGTGTCGTTTCTCTTCTCTTATAAAGATCGTAGTGGACGTTCGTTTTTAACCTCCCTCCATTTCAGTATATCAGTATCAGTATATATTTTTTTTGAAGTATTCTTAAAAAAAGGGTTCTCGGTAATTTTTAGTGCCATCGATATTTTTTAGATTGGATTTTGTGCGGTTATTTACATACTAACTAAGGTTATGTAAATTACGTTTGGTTTATTTACGTTAGTCGTATCGCTTCAAGTCTCTCTCATGCCACTATCGATTGTCATCCTCTAGAACATTCCACCACCCTGTCAAGTGAAACCTGAATTAGCACCATATAATTATCCTATAAATATATAATGTGTTGTTTACTTAATAAATGTAATAAATAATTAATATATGTAGTCTTATACCGGCTAAGTCGGATCTGAAAGGTTGAGGAGCTGTTAGAGATGCCGAAAATACAAATTTACGTCTTAATGTACTTTGCTGGTATATATTTTTGGATTTTTTTACTTTTGGCGCCCAACGTGGGGCGCAAATAGAAATTTAAACAAAATATTTTCTAGATATATTTTTTTAATGTTACTCTATATTTGAAGGAAAATTTTTAGTTCTGGATGAAGGCCTGGTGTAAATCTAACGGGAAATATTTTTCAGGGCGATTTGGTCCTTTGTTATGAACCGAATGTTCCACTTATGAAAACTTTGCACGAGTAACGTGTAATGATATCACTATTCTCTAAGAGTTTAACGAATTGTATATTTTTATTTATTAGGAATTCCAGATCTAGGGTAAAGAAATATATTTTTGTTTTTGAATAGCGAGCCGCTTAACAGCGACATGTACTTCGTTGTATTAAATAAAATGTGTTGGAAAATGTTCTCGATGCTTTCTTTACCACCTTTAACCATCCTTTTCAGCTATAAGAAACATTCAACATAATTTTACAAGAAACATGTACTATAATTCAAATTTTACTGAGAAATTTCTTAATTTGTACTTAAATTACAATCTTAAACAATCTTTAAAGTTCTAAATTCGTACCACAACAAAAAATGTTTACAATATACATCATATATTTTTAGATTTTATCACTTTTGGCGCCCAACGTGGGACACAACCAAAAATTAAACGGAACATTTTCCAGATAATATTTTTTTAAATATTACTCTATATTTGAAGGAAAATTTTTAGTTCTAGATGAAGACCTGCTGTAACTCCTACGGGAAATATTTTTCAGGGCGATTTGGTCCTTTGTTATGAACCGAATGTTCCACTTATTTTCATAAGACTTTGCACGAGTAACGTGTAATGATATCACTATTCCCTAAGAGTTTAACGAATTGTATATTTTTATTTATTAGGAATTCCAGATCTAGGGTAAAGAAATATATTTTTGTTTTTGAATAGCGAGCCGCTTGACAGCGACATGTACTTCGTTGTATTAAATAAAATGTGTTGGAAAATGTTCTCGATGCTTTCTTTACCACCTTTACAATCCTTTTCAGTTATAAGAAACTTTCAACATCAAGTTTACAAGAAAAGTGTACTACTTTAATTCAAAATTTACTGAAAAATTTCATTGTACTTAAATTACAAAAAAAATCTTTAAAGTTCTAGTCGTAACACGACCAAAAATATTTACTATATCGTATATTTTTAGATTTTATGACTTGGCGCCCAACGTGGGGCAGAACCAAAAATTAAACGGGACATTTTCTAGATAATTTTTTAATTTTACTCTATATTTAAAGGAAAATTTTTAATTCTGGATGAAGGCCTGCTAGAATCTAACGGGAAATATTTTTCAGGGCGATTTGTTCCTTTCTTATGAACCGAATGTTCCACTTATGAAAAGTGCACGAGTGACGTGTAATGATATCACTATTCTCTAAGAGTAACGAATTGCATATTTTTATTCATTGGCAAGTCCAGATCTAGGGCAATGAAATATATTTTTGTTTTTGAATAGCGAGCCGCTTGACAGCGACATGTACTTCGTTGTATTAAATAAAATGTGTTGGAAAATGTTCTCGATGCTTTCTTTACCACCTTTATAATCCTTTTCAGTTATAAGAAACTTTCAACATCAAGTTTACAAGAAAAGTGTACTACTTTAATTCAAAATTTACTGAAAAATTTCATTGTACTTAAATTACAAAAAAAATCTTTAAAATTCTAGTCGTAACACGACCAAAAATATTTACTATATCGTATATTTTTAGATTTTATGACTTGGCGCCCAACGTGGGACAGAACTAAAAATTAAACGGGACATTTTCTAGATAATTTTTTAATTTTACTCTATATTTGAAGTGAAATTTTTAGTTCTGGATGAAGGCCTGCTAGAATCTAACGGGAAATATTTTTCAGGGCGATTTGGTCCTTATGAACCGAATGTTCCACTTATGAAAACTACACGAGTGACGTGTAATGATATCACTATTCTCTTAAGAGTTTAACGAATTGTATATTTTTATTCATTAGGAATTCCAGATCTAGGACAAAGAAATATATTTTTGTTTTTGAATAGCAAGCCGCTTGACAGTGACATGTACTTCGTTGTATTAAATAAAATGTGTTGGAAAATGTTCTCGATGCTTTCTTTACCACCTTTACAGTCCTTTTCAGCTATAAGAAACTTTCAACATAAAGTTTACAAGAAACGTGTACTACTTTAATTCAAATTTTACTGAGAAATTTCAGAATTTGTACGTAAATTACAAAAAAAATCTTTAAAGTTCTAAGCTCGTACCACTACAAAAGATGTTTATATTTCATATATTTTTAGATTTTCTCACTTTTGGCGCCCAACGTGGGGCACAACCAAAAATTAAACGGAATATTTTCTAGATAATGTTTTTTTAATTTTACTCTAAATTCAACAAAATTTTTAGTTCTGGATGAAGGCTTGGTATAAATTTAACAGAATATTATTCAGGGCGATTTGGTCCTTTTTGCGAACCGAATGTTTCAATTAATACATGAAAAGTAAAAAAATATATATTTTTTAAAAACAAGTTTTTATTAAAATTTTGTATAGGCACATATAGGTACCTACCCTATAAATGTTATGGATAACACACATCATTTTTAAAATATTGACCATTTTTATTTTTACTAGCTATCGCCATTAAAATCTTATACTACATCATTATAATTACCATAAGCATTTACCAAATTTAGATTTTTAAAATTCATCTGATTTTAATTTCTTTGTTAGGTTGCTCTAATACTTACATCATCAGTTCTGAGCTTTGAACAAGACGTTAGAAACAGAAGTAGGTATGTTAAAAACACTAAAATTACTGTCTGTGACTATCTCGCCTTCTATTCTCCTAATACATCTGGAACCACCAGCAGTATGCAGTATCTCATGGGAATAATACTCAGAATATTTCATTTTATACAGACACACATTATTTATTATTGCCTGCTCTTCAAATACCAAACTAAAAAAAATATTTCATTTATTTAAGAATTTTAGAAACTGAATACCTATGTTGCAAACTATGAGTTATGGATT